AGCTTTATATCTCAGGGTTAAACTATTTATTTTCCAGATTGTCCAGTTACCCTTCTAGCAATAGAGATTATGTGGATGGTTCATTTCTATTGGTATCTGAGGATGAAGACAGGTACTGAATGGTTTCTATGGTGATTGCAGTACAGTTTAATACTTATTCAAATTACTACAAATTGTTGCGAAATTGTGAAACCATGTTGATAATTTCATCTCAAATATGATTGGTCATATCAGTCACATGACCATTTAATTAATATGCAAATAGAGATAGCTATGCAAATTATGTTTGCATGAGGTAGAAAATCAAATATATTTTTTTCATTTTGGGATTGCTGTAATTGATTTGAGATTGAGTTATATTGGAATGGATTGTTATGGCTAACGTCAACCAGCATAGTGTCACATGATCTTATGACATTTTCTGTTTCGAAAGTATGTGTAGCCAATAGCAAATCTATGTTGATTTTGTTAAAAATTAGTATGAAAATAACTGAAAAACACATAAAAATGTTGCACCAGCGTTTTTGAAGGAAAATGATCAACAAATTTTAAAGAAAAGCAAATCAGAGAATGTATGGTTTGTCCAGCAAATTTGTATCAATTCAAAACACTTCCAAAACTAAAAGAACTGGAAATAATTACTCCTCCTGTTACAACTCTAGTACAGTGTATCAATTACCTTGATAATAACACAAAATATTGTAATAGAAAATAATAATACCAATTAGTTGCATGATAAAAAAGAATTTCTGTACTACCATTACACATTGTTCCCACTTTTAGAATTGACTCGATCATTCATCCTTTTGCAATTTAGTTGTTACACATCTTGTTAGCACTATCTTGCTGAATACAATGTTTACATTTCTAATATCTTCCACAACCTCAATGTACATATAAATTTAAAGCAAAAACAAATTCAGGATTCCATAAATTGCTTTATAGAAGTTTGAAATAGGGATTGTAGGGAAGTATACAAATGTAAATTTAGTATTACAGGCCAGCAATAACTATTATGGCCAACATTTTTGTGCACTACTTTCCTGGCCCATTAATTCACTTAGTTGTTTAATTGATGTTTTTTTTTTAAATTTAAAATTTTTTTTCATTAAAACAAGTTTTTGTTGCTTGTTCAATAAAATAAGAGCATTTAGAACTGCTAACTTTTTGGGGCTCTGATCACTAGAGAACACCAAATAAGCATCAATATAATGTGAACTGCAGTCCTTTTGGGGTAATAGAAATATAGTTTGTTTTACTTTAGTGTTAGCAATTATTTTTTTCAGCTATTTGTTTTCAGCTTTTTTAGAATACTTGTAGTTTATATACTTGTATCGCCAATCGGATTGCATCTTGGGAGGTTGCAAAACATTCATGTGAAACCTATTTACAAAAACC